GTCTAAAATAACTTCRGTGCAATTAGACACAAAACTTCACTACCTGCAGGTGCACCTCAAGCTTCCAGAACTCCCAGCAGTCTCATCATCATCAGTCACCCTTCGGTGCATTAGCTCTAAATGAGCCAGATGTGTTGAAATATTTAAGTCCTTAGTTAAACCCTGGGGATTTTAGAGATATTCTTCCACTTGTAGTGYATTTGCATACCTTCCCAAAGAGATACTGAGTTATGTACACATGTTGAAAGCACAACACTTTCTACAAAATGCTTTAAAATACAGTCAGGTTTTCAATAAATCTTTATGTTTTCTTTCTGGATAATATATTTAAATTMAACACAAAGTATTTAGTCTATATAATTTAGTTGAATGGTAAAAATCTATAAAGGCATTTTCTCATTAGAAAGTTTATGGATACATTGAGCTTTGAATAAATAAAAATGTGATACATTTAACTAGAAATTCAGCGATTTTACTCAGTTTGAACCACAAGAAGAAAACAAAACTTCTAAAAAATTTACTAAATGTTACAAAAATCAGTGCACCTCAAAACACTACTGATAACAAATGACAAACCTAAGGTGCCTTYGAATGGTAGCGCTACCTGTTACCCACCCACAAGAACACAACTGCTCTTTCAGCACATAAATATATGGAGGACGTTTTCTGCTCATGCAGCTCTATCCTGTTTTCTAATTACAGTAAGGTGAWGAGTTAGAATTAGCTGAACAAAAGCCATCCCTTCATTCAGTTTCAAAGATGATTAATCTAACAAGACAAAGTAAATAAAACTAGGTGTAAGAAATGCAGAGCAAAGCCAAGGGAAGCAAAAGGATCTTCACCTTTACCTGACCTGTAACTCCATGGCTTTTCTAAGAATGTGGATTATCAGTGMCCCCATAAGCTAAGTGTACTAACAAACTGGGCCTGTGCTTTCTCATCGTTCCATTTTAGTACAAAATTACCTTCAGCATCAGCACACACCATATAGTAAGAGAGTCAGCTTTCAAATGCTTTAATACTGTGATTAATTAGTAACTATGTATTACTGTTATATYATACTATATATATTACTGACCGTTTAACAGCCCTTGAAATAATGTCATTCTGGAAGTGGTCAATACATATTCTCTGAACTTGTGGCCAAATAACCTATCCACAGCCACGCTGGGATTTTTTTGTCATTCTAGATGCCAATTTAAGTTCTGTTTACTTACCAAAGTAACTGCTTCAAACTATTATGACATCTACTGTATTCAGACTTCTAAGAAAATAGTCAAGATGATGAAAAAGCTTGCTACTTTCAAAATACGACCTCATTACAAAATACAATCTRTTGGGTTTTCAGCTGGTTCTTCTAAACACATCAGGCCTTTCAGCAGGAAACTTTTTGCTTTTCAACTGAATAAAAGCTGCTCCTCTGGTTACTAAGTGGACACCTCCAGCTACAAAAGACTTTTACCAGRAGTTAATGCTGGGTGTATTTAAAAGTGAAGATACATCTTCCATGATGCTCAAGGTATTCAGAGCTACTTTTTTGACAAAAACATCTGAAAAAAGGTACATTAATATAGTAGAGGGTGACTCCACATTTCTTGATGGCATGGATATCAAGGCTTTTATTTAAGTAGAATTCAGGAAAGGAAGGGGAGGGTGGTTATGCATATGCTGCAATTTAATAACTGTAAATACACCTTCAGGTTCTGAAATTTAAGCAAGGACTCCAGAAGATTAAGGCTTCATTGTAATTATATGCACATTGTATATACCCATGAAGCTGGACTGCAACTATGTGATTTTTGACAGAATTGACTGTTGATATGATTGGCGTTTTCCTTATGGTGTCAAAAATATAATGAAAYATTACCTGATGAATGTTTACTAGCTAATATACATATATTGCATACATATATTGCATACACACAGAGACATCTTTATCTCAAAATTAACTTTAAAAATATCCCAGATCTGATTTAACATGGATGYTTCAGTACTGCACCTCATCAGTAAGATACCACTGGCTCCAAGGCTCATTCCCGTCTGCAAACACAAACTCCAGCCTGCTTTTAAACAAATTCTCTGTGCTGATTCCCTTGATCTAGAGAACTTCTGTGAAACAATGCTACAGGAAAAGAAACCAGCCAGTCATAGCCAGAAGTGAACATGCTAGCTGGGATTTTTGCTTCTCTGCAGAACAGGTAGCTGAACTTAATGTGTATCAGAACAAAAATCTTTTTGGGACTCCTGTGTTAAGYGAAGCAAATCCAGCAAGACTCAAAAGGTGAAGTGTGTTGATGCTYAGCAGCAAATTCAATACAACTTAACATGTCAGCTGTTAAATTCTATACATGAACAACTTCAGCTCGCATGTGCCATGGCCATACTTTCCACAACAGCTTTTTCTGACTCCTGTTTAGGTGTGCTTTCAGAAGATCAGCCATTATGCCAACAAATTGTTGAGTTCAACATAAAACCAGGTATTTTCACCTTCCTCTTTTGTCTGAGTCTCTACRTGTTTCAACACCCATTAAAAGAACCTACAAGAACAACTTTTGCGAGACTATCTCAGAACTCTGTTTTCATTCACATTACAGAGGCTGAATTTCTGCCTGCTTCAGCTGAAAAATGAAAGGTAATTTATCACCTGCTTTCAATCTGGAAACTAATGGAACCAGTTCTTCTGGTGAAGAAGGTTAGCCAAGCTCTTCTATTACTGCCTTTTTCCTATACCGGGAGATTTTAAGCCTTTTAATTTTGAGTGAACAAGGTGCTAACATAATTTTACATAGAAAATTAGTTTTTAAGCAGATTTACATTTTAAGCACCATCTACTCTCTTATATGACCTGTGGCTTTTAAACTGAAACACTTCTTAAGACTGCATTGTTACAGTGAAATAYACTAACAAAGCACAACTTCAATTTCTAACTTAATTAAAAGCAAAATCACATTTAACAGAACTCTTCTTTCAGTAAAATATGAAATCTGAAGTAATTTTCTAGGAAGTTAACAATGTCCAAACATACCTAAAAATTTCACAAGTGAAGCAGACACAATTATAATATTATATTATAATATTAGATTATAATATAAATTCATGCAAAAATTTGTGCCTGTAGAATTCTTACCTTAAGGCAAGTTAAATCATAAAAAAACCCATCACATAAACTAAATAGAAATTAATATAAACTAAATATAAATTAGTGAAATAAAATATGAGTTGATTAATTTCATTACATACAAGAAATTTTAYTTCCTTACATTTTCTTAATGTAACAATAAAAAGATAAAACATGAAAGTACAGAAGGAAYCATCATAATCCTAAAAATCAAAATCTGCTGCAATTCAAAACAGATACTAAGCAAAGAAGTAAACCTYTATAACTAACTAGACAGCGTCTCTAACCAAGCCTGCTAGGGAAAACCTTGTGTAAAGAAATATGTGTTCCTTCAAGGACCAAAGTCCTGTTACTGTGGGATGGGACTTGGTCCCATGAGGGACACCTATTTTCATTCGTCTTTTCATTCACCTATTTTCATTCGTCTTTTCATTCACCTATTTTCATTCGTCTTTTCATTCACCTATTTTCATTCGTCTTTCCCCTACCACGCCCTCTGAAAGACGATAACAAATTCCATTCATGCTGAAATTTCCACAGAAGTACCAGCACTTGAAAGAGAACTTTGCAGCAAAGGGAAAATGAAGAATGAAAAAGGGAAWGATTTTTCACTGAGTCCAAGCAGGACTTGCACTGCAGCATCACCAGCTGTGACTCAGAGTACCACCTGACTGATCAGACAGGTGGGATAACCAACAAATCAAAATCCTTTTGTTAGCCAAGAAAAAACAAATTGGTTTTTTTTTCTCTGAACAAAAAATTCTACCAAAAATATTATCAGCAGTGTGGTAATGACATTTTTCATACTGATGTTTAAACAGCAACGAACTAAGGCCAAGCAACTCCTCTTCCTGAACCCTAAAAATAACAGTGCAGTAAAAGTGACTTTAAGAGTGCCTASAGCCTGTACCATCTCCAAGCCTCCCTAAAATGCTTTTTCTTTAGAAATTAGGATAAAAGATTAGATAGGAATTTTATTYCTTAGATCAGCTAGAATTAATCTGTATTCCGAACATCCAAAAGCAAAAAGTACTGGCTTTTCTCAGAAGGAGTTTAACTACAAATKAAGTGAGAGTGCATTTTAGATAATCTTCCAGGCAAGCCACGAACATCTGGAGTTGTAAAACACTCTGTTTCACTGAGGACTTTGGTAAGGAAATCTTAAACCTACTGATAAGAATTTTTCTGACTGCAGGACAAGAATTGACTTGCCTGTATTCCTCAATTTAGTTCTCCTTCATCCAGCATATGCTAACCCTCTCTGATTTTGGTGACTATACATCTACTGATCTTGAGCAACCAGAAGAAAGGAAGAAGGTGCAGAGAAATAAGCACTTCCAAATTAATCATCTTTGTAAGGCACTGAATTTCAAGTAAAAGAAAGAAAACTTTACCAAGCATGGAATAAAAAAAACCAGAAAACATTTCTGATTACCATTTWTTTTACCACAGAAATAACACTATTAGATGCAATGTCCAGAGATCCTGAACACTGTCTTGCCTCTCCTTCTATGAACCCAAACAGAAGACTCACTAATTTTAGGGAGGCCAAAGCACACTTTGCAAAATCCTACTGAAAGAYMATTTTATTTTTAAACAAAAAATTAACTTATCACAAAAACAATCAACCATAGAATTGTCAATAATCCTTCAGGAGAGTTATAATATACCACTCGTCTCAAACCACTGAAGAGATCTGACTTGCAAAAGCAAACCTTGGAATGGTATCAAAATTGCCTTGTTGATTGAACTATGCATACATGAAAGCAAAATTAGGACAAAAAAGATTTTCTGAAAACCAGCATCAGAGAAAACAATTTTTCACACCCATTTAACACAAATTTGTCACAAGAGTATAATTGCAAACAAAAATGTAATTTACCTATAACTACATCGTGGCCATCAACCAGGCCTGCAGAGAACAGCTCCTGAGAAACGCCATCTGCTGTGTCTGTCCAAAAGGTAAAAGGAGTACGTATAAGAGCCCAYAAAAACAACAAAAAGTATCAGTCATGCAATGCAATTTAAAGAAAAATATATTTTCATTCCAAAACACTCTTGGAGGCAGGATTGAATTCGAAATTCTCTTTAATTAAGAGGAAAAATGATAATTATCAGCCTCTGCACAGCAAATCGCATAAGATAATGACTTGATTCACTGCAAACCCTCTACAGACCTCTCCTGGCCACCAGCCTTTCTCCTCTGTTATCTAACTATAGACTTGCACACATTTTACAAGGATACTAAACAACCAAAAAACCAAACAATGCTTTAGTGTGGTTTTCACTGCTTTCTTTATGCCCTCCAGTGTTGTGCATATCTAGACAGARACGCGCTGAATAGGCTTTCTTGTTTGTTACCAGTGGGGCGAAGGGGTTACATGAACAGTCATTATTTTGAGATAAAGGTTTTAAATAGCTTTTATGTACTATGATTCAGGAAATTCAAAGCTTTGGACTGATTTTCTATTAACTTCTGTACCTGAGTGGGTTAATTCCTAAGACCCTGTGAATAGTATTTGCCCTGGATAAAGACCTTAGAATGCTTAGATCTAAGTAGGCAGGAACAAGCCTGAATTCCTGCTAAGTCTCAACTGTAATGTGGCTCATGCTATGAGGCATTTACACAAAGCTGCATCATTTCCTCAAGAAACACACTCAGGTGAAAAGCAAGGGAGCTGAGCCAGCTGCAGTTTGTGGAGATGAGAAGCACAGCTGCTGTCTGGCAGCCTCAGTGACTGATTATAGGAACAGTCCCACTGTATCCTCTTTTTTTGACTAAGTAAGAATTCTCAAATGGCTTATGTAGCCATTTCCCAAGTAATTCTTTTGGCAAACCAAKATTTCTGTGCCCTATTAAGTAATAGGCCTCTTCTGTTATTACTCATTGCCAAAATCAACGAAAAAGGCAGGTAGGCAACACAATACATCCATGCACAGAATTACTGCACATGAAAGATACTATGATTTACAGCAAAAGAGACACCTCTTCCAACATGGATTCATTTTTAGGTGAAAGCTCTTTGGAGGCTATTCTAAATAAAGTGAATATTGACTTCTAAGGAATATGAAATAGGTTCATAGTTCAAAGGGTTGCAATTTAACAAGGATGATACCTTCTTACTCAAAATACCATGTACTTGATACTCCTGTGCATTTTATGCCAGTAATACCTGGTTTTCTTCAAATAAAGATAACTGTACAAGTTCTTAAAGCTCTTAGCACTRGAAAGCCTACAGTTCCACAAGTATGCAGTAGAGTTAAAAGTTTCAATACCAGAATTTCTTTCTGGTTATAATAMCAAAGCTRGAGATACAACTCAACTTTCAGTTGAAGACAGCTTCTGRAAAATGGTATGCACTTTATTATACTCATTAATAGATSTCCTGTTAGAGAGATCTATTTAGAACAGGGAAAGAAACTTAAATATTGTCACCATCACCACATACATTTTTATGGCTACTATATTCCCTACTATGTTTTCCAAATGTGAAARTGGAAATTYYAAAGCTGTAAATACTGCTAGGCAARATCTTATGTACCATATAAATAATTTCAATAAGACATGAAACTGATAAAAGTATACTGTGAATAAATTCTTCTAATGTACRTATTATGCAACCTTGCCACTAGAATTTACATACTTCTGCAATTCTTGCTCCATTGAGGTTCACTATAAAGCTYTGCACAGTAGGAAACATTCCAGAGAAGCAGTCTGCATTAATCATAAGCAGTAATCCATTTCTGAAATACCTCTTTAAGCAGTAAGAGAATAGTTCAGTTGCAGGAGCCTTACCTCTGCCTGGAGTAAACTCAAACCGTATGTCATTAAGCTCTTTCCTGGAGTTCCTGAAAAACAGTGCATGCATTAAAATGTAATGAAGAACAGAACAACCATTCAGTTCCTGCACCCAAAGAATACCTCTGGCATTGACAACCACATTTTCATAGTGTGTATTTCCTTGAAAACACTGCTCTCCCAAAGCAACCAGACTGGAGACTCCACTGCACTTTCATGGCATTATTTTGGGAATAATGGTAAAGTAAGCTTAAGCTGAARATGCGGTTCAGTAACATAAAGGATAAGGTAAAGTCCTCTGATAAATATTTTCCTTTTCCTCTTCGAAAGACATGGCCATATTGACTCTAATAATTCACCTTCGTTCGAGTTGTATGTAYCTTTTCCTTCAAGAGCAACAGAAGAGTCACTTGGACTTAAAGCTCCCTACCTGAGATCACAGTTATACAAAGATGTTTCACAGATAAAGTATCCAGCAAATGTTATATGCTGAAAAGTGCATACGAAACAGTGCATAGTGTTTACAAAACTGTTTCATAATGAGTAAATTCTTTCACTGACCACCCTTGTCTCAACAGTGAGGTTCCACCTACATATAAAATGAGCAGCAAAATGTTAAATCTCAAGGTTTCCCATCTTCCTGCTCGCCATGGAGTGTTTTAACCAGTTCAGTGCGTGACACGGTCATAAGGGAGTTAATCCCAATGTTAAAGAATTCCTCTGCAGCCTCATTCTGTGCCCCAAACCTCCATTCCTTGTATGTTTACAGCTTCAGGTTTAGTTAATAATTTTTACCATCAACAAAGCATTGGCCTCTGCAAAACAGTTGTCCATCTCATTTTTGGAAATGGCAAGTCAAYTGAGCACGGGGAGGAACATAATTGCTGTAGCACACTCTTTTTCCAATGAATAGCCCAATCCACTTCAAATGTTAATAGCAACAGAATGTTTTGCAGTTCATTATTCTTCTCCTCAGCMAGGAAACTGTATGCAAGCTCATGTTTCAGCATACCAGGCCATGGAGTCTTGCTGTGGGAAAACTAAATCCAAGAGGCAGGCATATTCAGCTGTGACTTACAGCTATTATTGCTTGCTAAAGGTTTCTAAGAATATTACAGAGCCAAARACAGCAACATGAAGAAACACAAAMCCCAAAATGATTGGCAACACAGACAACAGCAAGATAGCAAACCCGGAAAAATGAGTGTGCCACATGCAGTGCTTAAAATGAAAGGTACTCATTTACTGAATCTACCAAATGCTTCAAAGCAGGAGTTTCGGGTTCCCAAAATTCCACTTTAAATAAAGAACTAGAGGAGTTTAACATCACTACCACAAAGCTGTAGATAATGAAACTAGCCAGGTACATATTTACAAGGCTCATTTACTTCTGCTGTAGAACCCTGCTGCCATTAAATGGAATATTGCACTGTCTATTTTTATTCAACAGAGAATTAGTATGAACTTCAGTTTTTCCCCCTTTCTCCTAAAAAATGTGGTTAGCATTCTGTTAAACAATAAACACAAAAAATAATAATATTAAAAAAAAAAAAATCAACTGAAGACCCATCTCCAAGTTCCCTTTCAACAAAAACTGCTTTCTGAAAAAAAAGGAAAAATGCATGGAAAATTAGCATTATTCTTAAAAAATAAATGTTCTGACTGAATGCCTGATTTAACTCAAATACTCACTTCCTGCATATACTTTGGAAGAAACAAATCAGGCAAATAAAACCTTTCTCACCTTTGCAGAGGTAAACTAGAAGGTGGSAACTGGATGATCTTTAAGGTCCCTTCCAACTCAACCCATTCTGATTCTATGACCAAAGTTCTCCAATTACAGCTTTCCACAGATCTTCCATAAGTAGAACATCTACCATATAAAAAGGCTCTAAGTAATTCTGAACTCTTATGAAAATCACCAGCTATGGTAAAGATGAGCTGCTCCTGATACAGACTCTCCTCCAGCAGGATGCACATGTGGTAYATGTTACTTTGTCTCCAAAAAATTCCAAAACATCCCAAATAGAAATTTGAGGAGTCAAACCAGTTTATTTTAGTCAAGGTAATAATTCAAGGAAGGTTGGTATGTATTCAGCAATCCAACTTTGCTACTGAGAACTGTTATGCTCTGAACTATTTTGAACTTAGGACACTGCTGCTTTCTCTATAATGGTACACAACTATTCAAGAAAGCAAAACAACGGAAGTTTGGCAAGATTAMTTTGCTAGAAGCCTGTAAGTGCTTTTGCTTATTGTTCCATTACCTTGCAGACATTTATTGATTTCCATAAATTATGTATTCCATTATATAATCCACCAAATGGAAGATGCACTTGAATTCTCCCCTAAAAGCTCCTCATGTACTTTTTCAGCCTTTAGTCACTTCTCTGGTTCTAGTTAATGTCACTGTAACTGCAAATTAGTTTGCTAGTTCCCTTGGTGACAACTGTTTGGATTTGCTGATTTGTTTGTAGGCAGTTTCCAAGCAGTGTTTCATTTGTTTCTTTTTTTTTACTTACATCCATTACACTCTTATCATGCAGCAGCACACACAGACTTCATTTCTGCTATACAGAAATAGGGTGGGAAGAAAAGCACTTAGTATCTTTGTGATTAATAATTTTATCTTCTTCATCATTYCTTAATGGTTCTTATTTTCTCAAAGGCACTTGTGAAAAAGTTATTTCTATTTTAAAATGTCAACTCAGACCTTTTTGCTATCTCTCATAATACCTCTTCTGTGCTTCTAGCTCTGTGTCATTACAGACTAATATACCTTGATAATCAAGGATCAAACTAGCTCATCTCTCATCTCTTTTTAAAAGCAGTAAATTTTAAGTAATTTTGTGTATTTTATTACACTGCAAGTTGCTTTTCATTATGYGCTCACCTCCAGTGGAGGCAATCCCAAATGTTTTGAATAAAGGTGACACCAAAKCATGCCATGCTAAGAAATTTTGGCAGCCATCTTTCTGGCAACATTATTTCAGAATCTGAAACCTCTCACTTTGTGAAAGGTTCACTATTATTATTATTAACTCTTCACTATTATTTTGTTTTCATCAGGACCAATTGATTTGCACATCAAGAATGCTAGATCTGATTTTCAAGGGAATAATGCTGCCCCAAGGGACTGGGAAAAGAACAAGGGCCACCTGCTGAGCCCCCCACCTATAAAATCTGGCAATCCTGTCACTACGATATAAAAGAAAGATATTCTGTTTTGACTGAAATTATTTGCAAAACAATGCTTATATTTACAAAAATCAGGATTAGAGAATAAACGAATTATGCAGCTGTTCAGAATGACATGATTCTACAGACAAATTCCTAAGACACGAAAGAGATTTCAGTCATTCACATTTAAAGACAAAGCCATCAAATAATTACCTAATGATAGCATAACTCCTGCTACAGACAATTATCTATGTTCCACATGATTGACAAAAGATCTACATTGTTGAATTAAAATAGAAAATTGTTTGTGTAATGATACAACTGTAAATTAGAGACATTAAATGTCATTATTTCTTTTGTCCTTAAAAGCAGAATGTCTATCATCTAAGCACAATTTAAGAAAATGAGATGTCTTGGAATTAAACTTTAGGACTAAATCACACTGGCATACCGTATGTATTAAGCAGCAGATTTTCATTTTATACTACTTTTTTACCCTCACAAATTTATCCACCACTTCTTATGCAGAGCTATCTGAAACATCACTTCTATTTCACACAAGCTCCAGCATTTTCCATACAGCCCTCAGGGAGAGTCTGTATTCCTGCATGAGATGCATCCTACCACAGCTAARTAACTCTATATTCTTCCTTCCCAAKGTAAGAAAAAGACAASGTAAGCCAAAGSAAGTGTGTGTGCATGGGTGTAAGAACACCCACTTTGTGTMTCTGCATCTCTTGCCTAATTTTCAGACTTCAGCTACTCAATCATCACATGTRGTTTACAAAGACTGATATATGGAGCTAAGTGTCCAACAATGCAGGTACTGACATAATGGGAACCACCACAGCTGAGCCATCAGTGGAAGAGACTACAGCAGAATGCAGAATAGCTATGCTTCTCCAGAACCAGAAATAAGCTCATCTTTAACCAAAACTGTAGAAACTTTATTATGAAAAGCACCATAACAAGGATGTCACATGGCACCCCTCATCAGTCAGCCTTTCCCCTCCTCACACTCCTAATAAACACTATTCCCACCAGGACAGAATTTCCCCCACCATCAGGGACCAATGACACTGGCCAAGTCTGTGTGCTTTAACAAAAAATGCACACAAAAATCCAAACCAAACCGAACAAACAAAAAAAAAACCACCCCCCCCCCAACAATTATATCACTTTTACAAAATTTTACAAAATTTCAGCCCCACAATGCTTCTACCATCCAGAATTTGAACCATGGAAGAAAACTAAAATGCAAACTTAGAATGCAAAAAACAAGACAGAATAGCCTAAGAACCAAGATCAAGCAGCCTGCTACTTGCACTACCTCACTGCATTACTGGTGTAATTAAAACCACAGAAGAACTCAAATGACTTGCTCATTTAGACTGCAGAGAAAGCAGAAGTTCACATCAAAATGAAGTGGACTAATCAGAGTGATGGGGGGTTGTACATACTAGAGCTGTACTCATCCAATTTTCATACTACATTTCTGGGGCAATATCTTTGTGCATACWATGCAAGAAATATAATTGAGGAGAAAAGCACAGAAGAGTGGAGGTTGAAGGTTTGTTTAAAAGAAAGAAAGAAATTTTCCTTTTTTTTCTTGCTGGAAAAAATGCTGGAGAGACAAATGCTTTTTGGCCTCACCAAATGTCACTCAAATTCAAATGGTCATCTGCCTTCTCTCAGCAACATGCCACCCATTTTTCCCTTTCAYGTGCTTAAGGCAGAAAGCACAAGTTAAACATAGTTCCCTTTGTAACCTTGTTTTTTATAGCGTCAGCTTATTTTACAAGTRTTACATCTTTTATTAAAAGCAGAATTTTAAGTATTAAACACCTCTACTGAAGACCTGTAGCATCTG